AGATAGAGAGATAGAGAGATAGGCAGATAGGTGGAGAGATAGGTAGATAGGTAGAGAGATAGGCAGGTATGTACACAGGTCAGATGGCTCTAGATAGGTGCCCGAATAAATGGTAGTGTGGATGTATAAACTTGTCCCAATCGATTAGGCTCTACACCCTAAACCACTTACATTAGCCTCAAGGCCCCACGCTGGAACCTCCATTTGCAAGATAGCTGATCTGAATCCGTAAGCCAGAAAATGGAAATGCTTTCAGCCCGAAAGCATAGGAATCCGTAGGCCAGGAATCATGGAAATCCTTTCAGCCCCATCGGAGTCTCTGACTACTGTCTGCACTGTTGCAATCTGAAGTTAAAAGCTGTCCATTCTGGCTGCTGCACGGCATCGTTCTCGTTTCCGCCGCCTTTGAGGTTTAGGGTTTAGGGTTTAGGAATACACTTGGCGAGACCTTGACTTGTCTTGTGTGCTTTTGAGTCTTCGTGAGGTTTGTGTCATGCATTCCCTGCCACTCAAGATAGCCTAAACCCTAAACCCCAAGCCCTAAACCCTAAGCCCTATACCCTAAACTTTATGCCCTAAGCCCTAAACCCTAAGCCAACAAGAAGGCTTACTCCCACAACCGAAAACCCTGAAACAGACCGATGAAGCCTGGACCATTAGCCCAAACAGTTCCAGAAACAGCCGATTCATGAGGTCCCTCACAGCCACCTCCCGAGGCATCAAACGGTCTAAGGTATTGGGTCTTCGGGGTTTCTAAGAGCTTGAAGGGGTTGTTTTACTGAGCTTGGGTCTACAGTGTTGTGTGGGCTTCTTGAGTTTTGGGCTTAAGGGTTTTGGGTTATAGATAAGCTCAGCCCTAAACCCTAAACCCAACACTTACGGTTTGGGGCTTCAGGACTTTATGGATTGGATGCTGAGGGTATTCCGGACGTCAGAGTTTGGGGCTTTACGCGGTAATACAGGAGCCTGAAACGATTTAGAGTTTAGGGTTTAGGGGAGTTTAGGGTTTTAGAGTACCCATTATGCTATTTCTTGGGGTTCCTTTACTAATCATAGTCTAGTCTACCCCAAAACCTTCTTCATTGCGATTGAGGCCCCTATGTTAGTAGGTTTCAGAGAGCAAGTGATAGCCACTTTGAAGCTTGACGTGCGGTCGGCGATTCAATGCGCAGCGCATGGCGCGGATGTGGGTTGTGGATGTGGAGAAGCCTGTGTTTAGGGTTTAGGGAGTGTTGAGCTTGGGATATAAGATATGCAAAGATGTGGAGTTCGCAAGTTTGAGCAGTGCTTTGCTTGGTTGGTGTCTTGTCGAAACCCTACGCCAAATCCCACAACCCCTAAACCCTACTTAAAGGATCATGGAACTTAGTAACTAGGATTAGCTAACAAGGTAGCTATACAGATAATTACTTCTAACCCCAATGCAATGAGGGTGCTCATATCTAAACCCTAAACCCTAAACCCTAAACCCGCTTACTAAGCCCCCTGATCCTCCAAGCATCTGAAGCCGTGCGGAGGCTCTCCTTCTCTAACCCTAAGGGTCCAAATACCTAATAATCATAGACTCTCCCAAATATTATCCTCTACAACTACTATCCGTAACCAAAGTACCTCATTATTGGGTCCTTTGGACCCTTAGGGCAACCTCAGCACTGTTCCTGCTCATGCTCTGAGACACCCGAAACGCGCAACCACCCAGAACCCCTGAGCCTCTGCACTTAAGCAACGTTTAGGGTTTAGGGTTTAGGGTTTAGGGTTTAGGGTTTAGGGTTTAGGGTTTAGGGTTTAGCCGAAAGTTGAAAATCCGAAATTTGGATCTGGGCTTTAGCGCCCTGAGGCCCGAACCGTATAGTCTTATAGATCCTAAGCCTCGATCCCTCAAGTCCCAGCACCTGAAATCCTTATCTCATACCGTGCATGCTACCCATAGGCCCCATAGTAGTTCCTTTTTGGGGTTACCTTATAGGATTCTATATATGAACCCCCAAAAAGGAACTACTTTAGGGCCTATGGGTATAGGCCCCAAGCCTAGAAACCCATAAACCCTAAACCCCTAAACCCTAAACCCCTAAGGGTTTAGGATGGTTTACGCCTGAAACCCAGCCGCCCGGCAATCAGTTCGATCACGCGGACAGCGACAAAGCAAGCTCCGCTGCCGGGGCCCAGAAACCCTGTAGGCTTTAGGGTTTAGGGTTTAGGGGTTTAGGGTTTAGGTATAGGGTTTTGGGTTGTTGTAGCCCAGATATAGTCGCTTGCAGCTGTAGAGCAAAAGCATATAATCCAGAACATGTCTGGAAGCCTAGTACCCTTTAGGCTCTAAGGACTCATACATAAAGGCCTTTGGGCCCGAAGACCATACCATATACGGGGGTTTAGGGTTAAGGGTTTAGGGTTTAGGGGGTAGGGTTTAGGGCTGTTGGGCTAGTTGCGCCTTGTAGGGTAATAACCGCAGAGACTCCAAAACCCCTTACTTAAGGAATATACCCTAAATCATATTAGGGATCCTAGTGTCATTTAAGGTATATTCCTTAATTAAGGGGTTTTGGAGTCTCTAGGACCCTATACCCGCTTCGGCCATGGCGCTTTCGGCCTTCTTGGCTTCGGGTGGGCTTAAAAAGGGCATCGAGTCTCATCGAGGGCATTGAGGAGTTGAAGTTTTTGGGGATCTTTTAGGGTTTAGGGTTTCGGGTTTAGGGTTTAGGGTTTAGGGTTCCAGAAGAGTGTCTAGGGTTTGAGAGCTTGCAAGTTGAGGGTTTGCGGCAGTAGAGCTTGAAAGGCCTCAACTGAACCTTAGGCGGTTTGCTTTTACGTCCTTTGAGCTACCGACCGGTTTCCGGCTGCCCTCAAGGTTTTACGGCATAGGGTCTTCGAGATCTAATATACCTATGGTCTCCATTGTAGTTCCTTCTTTGGGTTACCTTGCAGGATCCTAATTATCAAATAGGTTCTACAAAAAAAGAACTAAAATGCAGACTATAGGTAAGATGGTTCAAGATTTGAGACTGGGGAAAGCGTCGGTCGGGTTAGGGAATTGAAGCGAACTTAGGGTTTTGGGGTGTAGTGAAACCAACTCGAGTCCTGGTCCCGACCCTTTAGGGTTTAGGGTTTAGGGTTTAGGGTTTAGGGTTTAGGGTTTAGGGTTTAGGGTTTAGGGTTTAGGGTTTAGGGTGCTCCATGCAGACCTTATGCCCGACAAGCCCTACACTCACTAGAGCCCGAGCCCTGAGACCCTGAACCCATCGAGGGTGCCATGCAAATCCTACTCAGGGGCGGGCACGTATGTTCGAATAAGCCTTCTGTCTGAAGTGCCGAAAGTAGCTTGACTAGTGTCAAATCCTAGTCCATGTACCCAAATAGTAGGAACTTTGGTACTTTGGCGCCAAAGCACCTACATAGGGAATACTTTACTGCCAAAGTACATACTATTTGAGTAAACCCTAAACCCTAAACTCCAAACTCTAAACCCTAAACCGAAAGGCGTGTAAGGTGCAAGGGGTTTGCCTCCAATTCTGCACGCCGACTCCAGCCGCCCACCTACACTGATCTGGCCAAGGTTAGGGTTTAGGGTTTAGGGGTTTTTGGTTTAGGTTTTAGGGTTTCCCCGCCCAACCCCAAGCACTTTCAATTTGAGCATTGTTACCCTAAAAGAAAAATGCCCAAAAGCCATAGATAGTATGGTCTTTGGGCCCCAAACCCTAAACCCTAAACCAAAACCTAAACCCTAAACCCTAAACCCTAAACCCTAAACCCTAAACCAAAACCCTAAACCCTAAGCCCCAAAGCCTTAAAAATTAAAAAGTG